TATATATAATATAAGTTAATTCTTATGTGCAAATACAAACACTGCTAAAAGTTTTCTTTTTCTGTTTTGAATCGATTTTACAGCTATACATTTATAGGTCCGTAGGAGTAAATTTGTTTTGCTGTCTTTAAATGAAAAGTGGAAGTTGTTTTGGTTTTTATTTTTGAAGTAGTTTGAATTTTAGTGTGTTAGAAGCTAAAAATCGGTTGCTTGTTTTGTTCCTTGCTGCCCCTGCTTAATAAACCTCTCGTGTGCTTAATAGCTCTACCATTCTCTGCAGTATTGCGCTTTACTTCCATGACGAATAATTCCGAACCCTGGCATGTGCACAGCTTATCCTTGGGCTTTGGTTGAAAAGTGAAGATTCTCAAGAGAATCAGAGAAGAAAACGGGGTGTGTTCGGTGCGATAGCTGTCAGCTGTTTCAAAAACGCCCAGCTTTCGCTTTTGCCCTCAGGCTTCGACGAGTAGGTAGAGAACTCATATCGTCAAGATGTCGAGCTGCAAGCACATCGTCGCTGGTGTCACAAATAACGGCGACGAGATCTGCTCTGGCGTCGTTGCTGCTGAACATGGCACTGCTGGGCCTCGTGCACATTCTCAGAATATTTCTGCTTGTAAAAGTTGCGATGCAAGTTGTTGCAAGCACATCTATGCAGGTGTCACCAACGCAGGAGAACCAATCTGTGCTGGCGTCATTGGAGCTGAGTTCAATTCTGAAGCTGTAAATAAAGATGAAGGCAAGAAGATCTACGCTGGTGTTACCAAGGCAGGAGAACCAGTCTGTGCGGGCGTTATTGGAGCTGATTTCGATTCCGAAGCTATACATAAACAGGAGACTAGCTCTGCTGCAAAGACGGAAAGCCATGTTGCTTCCAATGAGCCCCATTTCTCGCCTGAAGTCTCTAGACCATACATGTACGTCATTGCCGGAATTACCGAAAAAGGCGAGCTTATTTGCTCGGGCGTGGTTGTCGCTACCGGTGATGATGGTACCACTGTGAAGCCAGTCCACCATGTTCCCTCTGTACATAAATTCGAAGCTGAAGACTGGTCTGGTGAGCATGCAGAGCATCATCAGGAGCAGGAAGCTCGTCGAGTTTCTTTCACAGCAGGACCTGCAGAAGGAGATACGCCTTCTGCGGGTGCGCACGACGAGGACACGCCTATTGCAAGCAGCGCGCAGTTCGAACGCAATCGCAGCGCCTCACTGGCCGAGGCTTTACAACACATCGATCCGAAAGGCGTTCCGCAGGTTGGCTTTTTTCATCCGTCCAGTTCGATCCCGATATTGGAAGCAGAAGAAAGTGGAGAAGCCGCTTCTGGAACTTCTGGAGCTAGCCAACCCTTCTCCACTCCCGCAAGCACAACTGAATCCACAACAAAACCCTCCACTGAGCCCAAAACTGAAACTGCCACATCGGAAGCAGGGTTTACCTCAGCATCAGATCTACCACCAAGTGGCGAAACTGAACGTCTGTTGACAAATCTCCTATTCACTCTACATTCACTCAAAATGGGCTCTCCAGACCGCCATGCTGAAGCAGTGAACCGACTCAAAGAGTTGGAAGAAGAACTGCGAGCAGCCGGTGCTGTAACGCCAGCCGATCCAGCTGTGGCCGATGCTGTAGCTCGGGCACTTACAGCCGCTGGACCAGGCAGGGACATTCAGATACGTGTAAATCAAAGCAGACATACGACTACGACGAAAACAGTCTATGAGACGGAAACACCCGGAATGGTTGGTCTGGATCCGGAGAAGATTCGAGAGTTGCATCAACAGATGCTCAGCAGCTTGAGTAGGCAAAATTCCTAATTTTATATTGCTTTTCGTTAGTGCTATTTGAACGGCGTAAACCTCGATAGAACGATAGGGTCACCTGCATGCTAAAAAGGCTATAGTGAAGGTCG